TATGTGGTGTTAACCGACGTTTCGGAGGAACGTCGGTTAATACCACATATACAAGGTGCCAAATCCCAGAAGACTGCTTTCTTCATCAATAATAATGTTATTTTTAATCGTCGATGGCAATGTAAAATTATGGAGCCGTGTTCATCAAGGGGTGTTCCACAAGTATGCTCATGATGTGTCGTTATAATTGATCAATATTTGAGCAAATCTGGCGCTGCAAAAATGTTATCGATATTAATAAAATTACATGAATTTAATGTTAATAAAATTGTATGAACTTAAAACGATGTCCCAGGCCTGCAGGTCACATAGCTTGACCCCCATTCTGGAATCCTACTATCCGTGCCATCTGTACAGAAATGTTCGATCTAGAAGAATAGAAACGGAATATCGGCAGTTTATGTATCGCCCTTTATTCTGGTTCTAAAATTATGGAAAAGCGAAAAAAAAAACAGTTGTATTACAAATTTCCCGTCCTAAATTACCTTGAAATATTTTTACTTAAAGCGCAGCCGATAAACAAATAGTAAGATGCAGACTACATTACACTTATTTCGGTGCGCCAGGTTTGACCCCAGGTCAGGTCGTGTGAGACGTATGCTGGGAAAAGCGTCACTGTAGCGGGTTTTCTCTGGAAAAAAAAGCAGGGTTTCGCCTGCCATTCTCATTCAGTCAACTGATCTATATTCATTAATCACCCTATCATCGATGTTATATAGTCTCGAAACTGAAAGCATCGTTTAAATCCAACTAACTACGTTGCAGCTACCACTGTAAAGTGTTTTTACTCTGCTCTTCAATCTTCTTAACAATGTCATTTTCCAGATGGAGCCAATTTTCTGGCAGTAGGTCTTCCCACAGATAAGAACACGGTAGTGTAACGAAGGTCTGGAAATGAGTTAATTAGACTGTAAAGCCAGAAACCATATCGTTGTTATTAGTGAGAGGACATCACAGTAAACAGGCCGTGTTCAATAAGCATGTCCAGATTTTATTAGATGTGAATATTGTTGAGTTTCTAGTTATGTAATATGTCTAACATAACAATTACACGAATATGTATAAAAACTTCCGGAAAATCAGTTCGTACGCTGAGACAACGTTATTATTAATATTATTAGCTACAGAAAGTATATTCTACGTCTGTCCTTCACTGAGAACCTTGTAACATACTGGCGTATTCCGTAGAACGGCGATCCTCTCTCGCCTCCTCGTCACATGGCTTGCATACGCGTGTTTGTGTGTAGCGCAAATAAAGCTGTGTACTTTATTTTCTCTGCTTATACTCGTACAATATTTCCAGTTTATTTGGATCTCCTCGATTTAACAGTCCCTAAAATATATCACAGTCATTCAGGGTGTTACTTTTTAAATTGCCAACTTTCTCACAGGAATGACTTTTCCCTCTTCTCAAAGTAATGGACCAGTTTTCATCTAAGTAAATTACAGAATAAAGTTGTGATTTTTACGCTGTTATATTTTTAATTTCGTATCAACAGACAATAGGAGAGATTTCGACCTATTTACACAAAATGGGACATTAAGAGTTTGTCCAATTTTATAAAACCGTATTGATAAGGTAATTGGGGGTTTTGTGCCATTAAGTCATTAGTCAAAAAATTTAATCTCATAATTAAATAAAATTCTTGTCAAAAGTAAGCTCTGTTCATATTAGTGTATTTATTCCGTCTCAGTAATGTAAATGAAGTATACCTGTATATTACAAACTTTAAAATATAGAAAGATACCCTTTACTCTAATATTTTTCCAGTTTCTTAAACAAGAAAGATGACATTATGTTTAATATCTCTGAATATGATTAATGAAATTTGACGGCTGAATCCAAGTTTCGATGCTATATAATGTTAGCAGTTGTCGGAGTCGTTATGTGAACCAAAAATAGGGACAGAATTTCAATTATGGCTATCCTCAGTATTTCCTCCACAATTCTCGCAGAAAGATACTGATACAATTGAAACTAAGAACCAAATAATCTTTTATTCATATTCACATACTTTGAACATCATCACCTTAAATATATGAATCTATCAAACAATAGACCATATTCTTGTTAATTTCTAGATTCGCGACGAATTGCTGATCGCTTCTCCCAGCGCACGCTGAAAAAGCTATTAGTTACAGTAATGTCACGTTCAGTCCCCTCTGTTTGTTCAGTTTCCTTGAACTTGCACTCCGCACATAAATTGTCGGCGCTCCCTTCTGCAGGATTCATCACGTCATAATACGCTCATGCATCTAACAAACCCTGATCACGGAAGTCGTACATTAATGTATAAAAGCAGTGCTTCCGCAAAATGTTCTGTTAGTGACTGAAGCACTCGGATATGAAAATTATATGACTTTAGAAATTCTGACTCATATTTGCATCGATACGAAGCACCAAGTTTTCTAATAATTTATGCATATGCAAACTATATTAACTTTTCCTAACTTACCAATTTGCACGTTTCGAACTACCCTGTTCCAGATATCAAAAGCTGGAAATCAACAGCGTAAATAAAGAGAAAATATACGAGATAAAAAATAGCTTACTCTTTCTCCATTCTCCAGCATTTGTAGTAGCTCAGTCAGTGTAGTGACTAGGTCGCCCCAGGGGTAAAGCTACCATGACGTGAAGCTGCTGTAGCGTGTAGACCCGTTGCTGAGTAACGGCCACGAAGCAACGCCCCTTGCTAGGGCATCAGCTTCTTAATACACGATATTATGCAACCAGTTTCTGGACAACAGCTCGGTAAAAACGTTCTCGCGGAAACGAATTAGCACGCAACAATAGAAGAACGGTGTTTCCATGTGGTCTATGCCAAAAAGTTATAACCAGGACTGTGTGAAGCAATGAGCATTATCACATGTTAAATGTGCGCTATGTACACTAGTCGAAAGGCCACGCATATTAATAAAAGACAGGATGTTACATAAGGACTATGACCGAAAGGTCATTTGAGAGTTGAGTTCTGCAAGGGAGGCTGAGAAGAGATGGCACTATAGTTCAGTTGACAGTTCAGTTATGGGATATTCACCGGACAGTAACGACGTCAGCACAGAAGTTGAAGAATCTCAATTGCTGAGAGCAGTTGCCAAGCAACGACTGGTGAAGGCATTGGAAGCTGGAGAAGACTTAGAATGTAGTGATCGTTGAATTGTGAAAATCAGCGACAGCGCTGTAATTATTTGTAGTTCCGAGTCCTGTGCATAAGTGGTCAATGAATCCATTCACCAATTCATATCCTGTCCATAGGCGCACACCCCTAAATGGTGACAATATCCACTCCCCACCATTTGGAGTCAAGATTAAGAATGACCCAAGCCATACTTAAGCTCTCCTTACATCTTAAAGGAGTGATTCTTAATTAAACACACAAACAACTTCACTTTTTTTTAACTTCAATTGGAAAACGATTTTCTTAATGCTTAATTTTTTACATTACATTACAGCATATCACCCTTCATGTGTTTAAGTATTTCGCAGCAGAGAGCAAAAACTGTAATGTTTAGTGTCATTTTCATTTAAAGTGATAATGGAATTTCATTAACCCTCACCCAAATGTTCCATAATTCTCCATCATAGTACATCTTCCTTGCCTTCTGGCCCATATAAATATGGTGACAAAGTATTCAATGCGGCTGTCACCATACAGGTTGGGTAATCACCTCTGGCTAATCTCTTCATACAGCACTTTGACCTATACATCCAAAGAGAGCCAGAATTACAAGCTTGCTCCATGACAGCAATCATTTGCAGGATGTGTACAGATGGGGATCTTAATACTAAATATCACTTTGACAGAAAAGAATCGTGCTCTTCCAAATAACCAAGTACTCCTCCAGTTCACTCAATATCAGGTGAATAGTTGATTTCTTCTCTGGAACTAGCACTGTTTCACCACCCCCACTTTCACCTATTTCAGTTATCTGCCTTTTGTCTGACAGATGATGTCGCTGTCAGGCAGGAACCATACAGTCTAATAAATATGATGACTAACTCTGCTGTCATAATTGTTTTGTCACCAGAACCAAACCACTCACTTCCTCCATTGACTGGGCACCTACCTTTCCATAACTTTCTTGCATATCTCATGCATTTGCTATTTTGTATATGTCACCTTATACTGTAAGCTTCTTCCAGAACATTTTAAAGTCATAACCCGCACATGCTTCTGGAGAATTTCTGCATAACAGCACCTCTTCATAATGTTCCTCTATCATCTCATGAAACAAAAGCAAAGAAGTGACTAAACAAGTGAGTCCTGAAAGTCACTTGGGGCTTTTCAGAGCCTATGTTTTCCTATCCATTGCACACAATTGTGGAGGGGGGGGGCTGATAAATAGTTAACTTAAAAAATTTCTGTCAGTAAATCTCTACCTGAATTCCATTTTGCCTGTCAAATCTGGAGCTCTCAGAGTCCAAGTACCAGCATTTCTGAGCAACCTCAGCTGCCTCCATCTTCATGGTAGAATACTGAAGATGGAGGCAGCTGATTTAATTCAAATGTTACTATCTGCCTACTAAATTACATGGTGTCTCATTCCAGAAGAAAGTGATCTTCATTTGTAAGTGTGTTCTGTGTGAACAGAGAAAGTAATCAGTATAATGCCTACTGAATACACGTTTTTATATTGTCACGTGTACTGGTGACAAGAGATGTGGGTTTGGATTGGTGAATTGATTTATTGGATATTCACAAGTCATAACTACAATTAGTTCTTACACTCTCAAGTATATGATAATTATAACATATAAATAAAGTCTTGTATATCTGCTTACACCAGCCATTGCTAGGTAACACATCTCAACAGTGGCTGAGCCTTGACAATGTTTTCATTATCTGTTTCCTGTCAACAGACTTTGCACAGGAACTACAAAAGTCTCAATCACACACTACCAGTATCACTGTATTACAGCACACATGAAGCCTTCAAATCACCCATTAAGTCTTCACATGCTAAGTCTTAATTCTTCTTCAACTACAAACTTCATGTGGCCGACTTCAACTCTCCATTCCAATTCTCTCAACTGCACTGCACACTAATCTAAGCTACAATACTTGTTATATAGGCTCTGCACGGACCACGCAGAAACACAAGTCATGTGATTGCTATCTTGCCAGTACACTGACACGCTGACTGCTGCCTAGCAAGCTATAACTGTTGCATGCACGTATCACAGGGTGTTTACTGAGCTGTTGCCTGGCAATGCTTTGATCAACTCTGTTATATTTATATGTGCAGCCATTTCAGAAATATAACTTGAATGCTCCAAAGCATCAAGACAAGCTCTGCAGCCCATATGCTCTCCTAAACTCTTTTCCCAGACTAGAGCCTGGCGCAAGAAGATAACCACTCTCTTCCATCTGATGCCAAAGTCAAGAGTGGCAGTGCTACACCTCCGCTCCCCCACACATCTTCATGGCACAGTGCTTAATGAATTAAGCACAGGGACAACTTTAACTTTTACCTCTATCCATAAATACAGATCTCATTTGGCGTTAGAGCCACTGCATAGGTCAGTAGCTGGTACCAAGGTGGAAAGGTCTGGTGCAACATACTTAACAGTGCTACAGGCTGACTCTGTTACACTGAAATGTTCGTAACATTTAAGTCTGTACAGAAAATAAGTATTTGGCACACATATAAGGAGACAACTGGATATAAAATGAAGAATGTACATATCTTAACACTGAGAAGTCTGTGACTTTGATGTATACAGTATCAACTTTACACTGCCACACCTTTGCAATCAACACAGGGGATTTGTAACATGCACATTAAAAATTCTATATTAAATACTGCAAGTGGTGCTTTTATTTTAAACATCTTAATTACATGTATATAATACTTATTTTATGCTCTGTATACATTAACATATCTGTACATTATTTATGCTTTTCCTGGCTATCTATATACATTCTGTCTGCATTAACTGCACATTCAACAGGATGTTTTGATTTTCAAGTAATGTAAGGACATCAAACTAGCATGTCTTTCTCGCTACATACAGAAGGGAAATCAGACAAACCCAAATAGGAATGTAAAGTCCTTTATACAACTTGCTTGCACCAGTTTGAACCTTACTATGTCAGGATTTTAAACCTTTTCGCATCTGCACTCTTGCAAGACATGAAAAGACTTACCAATAATTAGGTACAAGCAGTAAATATCATATGAAATGAGCATTAGTATAGTATTCAAACAAAAATAAGTTAATATTATTTATAGTATAGCTGCTAAAAATATTAAATCAAAACATGTATATAACTGGTAACATAATATCATTATGTTGTGCCACTTGTTGGTGCATCAATATATCAAAATAAAGCCTCTCATTATATATATGATTCCTCCTAAATGAAAGACAAACATTTTATAACTGCAAAGGAGATCCATTAAGAAAAATTAAAGACTACTGGTAGTGAGTAAAATTATAAAACTTAAAATGTGCATTTTGGATCTCATACGAATCTGCCATCTGCCTAACCATGGTGGCTGCTGAAGAAAAGGATATTTTCCTAATGGAAGAAATCTTTCCAAATAGCAACTGCTTGTTTTTACAACCAGTTATATAACAGCCTTTTGGCAGAATGTCATCAGGTGAGTTAACAAGTCTCAGTGAAATGGTTAGATTTCTCATTTGGCTCCATCTTCAAGAGTTCCCGGAATGATGTAATGGCAGACACGGCAATATAAAACTCTTGTCAGCCTCAGTTGATGGCTGGGGGAGGAGCTGGGGGAGATCCATGAGAACCCTGAAATACAAAATTGTCATTATTTTCCATTTGGAACGTGTTCCATGACCACAACACCATAACAGGTCATGAAACAGAAACTCCTACTCAAACCAACAGAAAACTAAATATATTTTGAAAAGATTAGCAAAAAAGTTAATATGGAGTAATAACAAATACAGGGCATACTTACTTACTTACTCACTCATGGAGCTGAGCCCTTCTGGAGGAGCCGCCAATTCTGAAGCTACTCAAGAATTTCCCATCATTTTATGCAACCCGAAGGTTCATCACCATATTCACAAAAGCCCTCCACTGGTCCCTATCCTGAGCCAGATCTATCCAATCCATACCATCCCATCCTATCTCTCTAAGATCCATTCTAATATTGTCCACCCACCTACGCCTTGGACATACTGGCAACATAAACATAAAATAAAGTAATGTACATAAAGACATCAAAAACACCATGAAAAGGACTTTAAGTATCTTGCCTACACTGTTTCCTATGTTCTATATAAAGTAACTCTACCCTCATGTCTCATTATCCAAGAACTCTATGAACAGTCACTGCAAAAGAATATACCCCCTTGATGGATGTTCCCACAACTGTAATAGCCAACTAAATATAATACCAAGATATTCTGCAAATACTGTACTAAAGTATTACATATTATATCACACTAATTCCAACTGTGTATCAAACTGTATTTCATTTTCATTTTATTATTAACTACCAGTCTGCACATAATAGCACTAATAAATCAAACTGGTCACTAACAAAAGCAGGTTTCTAATTTAACACAGCATTCAGCAGGGGGCAAGGGCATGAAACATATCCAAAATTTTGAGCGGCCTTCTCGTGAACTAAACACAAACCATCTAGCTTTTTTCTTTCCTTTTGAGTTTTTTCAAGACATAAGTAATTTGCTTAATTTTGTCCTTTAGAATGTCATCATTTGTGATCCCTTGGCTAGTCTGCTTATTTAGCAAGGGTGAAGGGTAGACCCATAGGACCAGAGTCCATTTCTTCACAGTGACAGAGGAACATTGAATATGATAGCCACAGAGAGGACACACAGTTTAATGTGGACTGTGCACAGTGGAGATCTGGCATACAAAATCCCTCACCTGTGGCAAACATGTAAGGGAGGATATGACTCATAAATCTGCACTATCTTTCAATTCCATCAGATCCTTCCATACACGTAACTTCAAATTGGGCATGAACAGATACAAAAAAAAAGTGTATGTTATCTTTATCCCTTTTGCCACTGGCCTTCAATGAAAGTATGAAAATTGACCCAAAGTACTCGTAGAACTAATAATTACTATAATGAAAATAATAATGAAAAGAAACATGATGACAAGCATTTCGGAAAAGGACGAGAATAAAGACGGAAAGCTGTCTCTAGGATAAACCTTCTACTACTAAATCCCATTTGTGCCCTTAACAACTACCCCATACAGGAAAATGGTGGAAAGTTTTCCAGAACATTGATCACAGAAACAAATCTGAATGCTTTCGTAGGCCAAAGCAGAGATAGAAAAAAAGACCCCTTACTCTTTATCAACGGTTCAGTAATATTTCTGTGGTAACCCTTCCCGTCTGGCTGGTACTTACCTGTTGCCTCTATATGCTGGTATCTTTCCTTGGTGGTAAAGTGGCCAGACTGTGAAGTTCATCACTCACCCCTACCGTGTGCCAAGGTTAATGCTGCTCGAAGCTATACTTCCATTCCTCATATGCCTTCATGGTATGGTACTTAATTAAGGACAGAGATACATCTTCACAGCATGCTTTTTACATGAGGACAGAGGGAGAGTACAGTCTCCAAAACATCGTTTCAAATACTAAACTAAATGGATGTCTAAAGAGTAAATAATTATATTAAAAACTGCAGAACTTTATAAATGACTTCCCTGGGACTCAAACCCAGACCACTTTCAAAATATTTTACAACCACTTCAATGCTCACCTCTCCATTAGCACTCCTTCAGTACAGGATCATAATGTAATGTTTGCATTACTAATTCCTATACTGGTGATGCATACTGTCATTTGAGTATGCAAACAAAAGTTACACTAGTAAACAATTCTGTAAGTTGTGACTATAGCCTGAAATGTACATACAAATCCATTGCCATGAGGCTTAGAATCATCAGTGCTGCGAAGACTGCTAGGCCTGAGGATGTACAGGACCAAGGCTACTGCGATCCAGCATACTGTCATCAGGAAGATGCTGCTGGGACCTCCCTGTGCGCTAGGCGGACCACCAGGCACTACAAATACACCATCTGATCACGTCAACAAACACACAACTAAAACAGTAATCTGCAACATACTGCACATTCCAGTTTATGTCTGTTTATGGTTTCCTGTGGTCACTTGTAACCTCTATATAAACAGGACTGTATCATTTATCAACTCAGATTTGAGCAAAATTTTCTGCAATATTTTCATGCTTCTGTAAGTTATTAAACTTCAATGCCATTGTCAATAATTATATTTTGTTGCACAGAAAAGCAGACCCATTATACACAGTTCATATTGACAAAATTGTAACTTATTATTTATAAGATAATAAATTACTATAAAATATAGCACCTCAAGATAATTCACCAAAACAAATACAAATAATTTCACTGCAAACACAGCACAAAAACGATTAGGCATTAACAGTTCCTTGACATTTCTGTTTCATATGTTTTTACTAGCTTATCATTTAAATGTGAAAAGGGATCATGGACACTTCATTTTTTCATAAGTTTCACTTTCGGAGCTAACTGGAATTCATATACTACTAATACTGAGAAGAAAAAATGTAGCTGGCCTACTATGAGGAACAAGTAACTAAACTGAAAAATGTAATTAAAAAATATCACAAGTGTGAAGTAAAAGGTTCCGAAATAGGTTTGTAGGTCTCCAAACAGCAAAACTCCATACAGCAATGTTTTGATTTCATCGAATGTTTTCCACCTTCCTTACTTATGGAGCTGAGCCCTTCTTGAAGAGTCACCAAATCTGCAGCTACTCAAGAATTTCCCAGAATTTTATGGAACCCAAAGGTTCAACACCGTGTTCACAAGAGCCCTCCACTGGTCCCTATCCTGAGCCATATAAATCCAATCCATTCCATCTTATCTCTCTAAAATCCATTTTAATATTGTCCACCCACATATGCCTTGGTCTTTCCAGTGGTCTCTTTCCTTCTGGCTTCCCCACCAATATCCTATATGCACTCCTCTTATCCCCATTCATGCTACATGCCCTTCCCACCTCATCCTCCTGGACTTGTTCATTCTAATTATACTTGGAGAAGAGTACAAGTTATGAAGCTCCTCATTATGCAGTTTTCTCCAACCTCCCGTCGCTTCATCTCTCTTTGGTCAAAATATTCTCCTCAACACCCTGTTCTGAAACACCCTCAGTCTATGTTCCTCCCATAATGTCAGAGACCAAGTTTCACACCTACACAGAAGCACAGGCAAAATTATAGTTTTGTATATTCTAATTTTTATGTTTTGCGACAGCAGACGAGAAGACAAAAGGTTCTGAACTGAATGGTAGCATGCATTACACAAGTTCAATCTCCTCTAAATTTCCTCCTGAATCAGGTTTAGATCTGTTATCATTGTTCCAAAATATCTGAACTGTGCCATATTTTCAAACCATCTGTTTCCTATCTTTTGCCCTGCATTTTAGTGACAAGACAGAAACATATACAACATATACCTAGTTTTCTCTGTGTTTACTTATAGACCAACCTTCTTACTTGGATCAGTTAAAGTTTGTGTTTCCCACCATAAACTGATTTTACACAATACAAAATTGTCTGCACTTCAACCAAAGACCTGAGTACACACTAAACCTTATACAAAGTTTTCAGAATATGACTGAAGAAATCAAAATACTTTTAGCTTCTTCCTTCCCTTCATTAGTATAATTTTGTGTTACTACCAGGATTTCAGTGCTCTGAACAGTAACTGCTAACACTCTCTCCATCCTCTTATGATTATTCTAGCTGTATTAAATAAGGAAAACAAAATATCCTTGCACACAATATCACCTAAAGCACTTCAAGTAAAAATAAAAAGTAAAGCTATCCCTGCAACAGGCCGTGAAGGCCCATAGGATTGTGAGATGTTGAGGGTCCCACATTATCTAGACAACTGGCTCAAAGATGGCGGTAAGGTTGTCAGCCTTACGCGCCGGCCATGCTTTACTCACCAGGAAAATTATATAATTAATTCCTGGTACTGATTTCTCTTTGAGGCTGAGTCAACCTGAGGGCTATAGTGCAGCTGGAAGGATTAGGTCAATTGAAAAAATCCAATGACCTCATTGGGACTTGAACCTGTGACGTTCCGGCTTGTAGCATAGCCCCTCAACCACTTGCACAATTCTAAATGCTGATACAAAGTAAGAAAAAAATCCTAATACTGTCTTGATGTTCTGTTCGTCACTTAATATTGTCAAGAGTGATTAAATCAATGAGAATGAGATGGGCAGGGCATACTGCACAAACACAGGGTATGAAAATGCATAGAAAACCTCAAGTGGCGCAATGAAACCTACTGCCTTACAATAGAAACTGATGTAAATATAAGGGTAATATAGTCTGACATATATCACATCCCAGGAGACTGTAACATAAATCTTCACTGCCATGAAAATATAAAATGCAAGATAATATAGCACTGTCACCTTGAAGCCATACATACTTGTACATGGTGTTCCTCCTTTTATGGTTAAGGCAGGACAGGCATATCACGAATATCATTATTATCCCATGTCCCTAGGCTTATATTACATTACCATATTAACAGTGAATGCTAAGTTTCTATAACCTTCCCAACACTTTACAAAACAATAAAATTTGAGAAATGCTATTCTTCATATCAAAAACATTAAGCACAGCAGCTTGAAACAACTACTAAAAGGGAAGCAAAATGTTTAAATGCTATAATAAATTCCCACTTACACAAGCCTCAGACTTAAGATTTCTTTAATTTGCAAAGTATTAAATTACATTAGAAACCATTTCATTTAACATTCTTAAAAATCGGAAGAGTACTTGAGTGTTCTTGACAAAACATTTCTCTGTCATGGAAGTAATTCTGTTCATTGGAAGAGGTACAACTAGCTACAATGAAAACAGAAACTGAACACATTCTATTGGTAGATAATCACTCAGGATCAATTCTTTAAATACTTTTCATAGAAGTACATCATTTGTATATACAAATATTACATATCTGTTTCACATCATATATGTTAATAAATTCACTGCCCATGGCAATAGGCATTACTCATTTAAGGAACACCATAAACATCTATCAAAACCTTTCATGTTATTTCCAACAAACATCATCTACTTATCACAAAATCTTCATAGGTTTTTATGCAAGCTTTGAGGAATTACAATCTGCACCACATGCAGTACCTGACTTTTGCAAAACATGAAGTATGCATTTCACAATCAGCAACTCATTTCTTCTTATCATATCTTGTCTGACCTTGTATAACATAGTAACCTGAACATTATCTTAAACTACAGGTAATGTGGCAGGGAGTTGAGATAGCAAAGTCGGTATAGCGCCTGGCTATGGGATCAACGACTGAGAAGTCGGAGTTTGAGTCCCAGCAGAGTCAAGAATTTTGTCTTCTTCACACCGTCCAGACTGGCTCTGGGGTCCACTTAACCTCCTATCCAATAGGTACCGGGTGCTCTTTCCCCAGAGGAAATGGGCGGGGCATGAAGCTGACCACTCAACTCTAGCTAGTGTCAAGGTTAAGAAAATGTGGGTCTATACATCTACTCTCCCATATGCCTTCACAGCATAGTGTTTAATTAGTTAAGCAGAGGGACAGCTTTACCCTTACAGATAATCTGGTATCAATTCCACATACTTACATTCCTCCAAACATACACTGTCCGTGCAATATGCTTGAGACTGGCGTAACTGCAACAAGAGACACAAACAGGCATTCCTTCAATTTCCCTCTATATTATGGAAGCTGTAATTGCACTATGAACTACTATGAACAGACCCTGAAGATCAAATACAGAATAACTTCATTTTCTTGACAGTATATTCTTCTTTTAAAACAAGAAGCTGAAACACAAATGAGAGTCTAATACACCAGCCATCATTAGTTTAACACTGATTTAACACTAATCTGAAACTGTAAAACAGAATCCATAAAATAAGTAGTCATTAACAAATAAGTTCATCACTTCCACATAAATACAGTGCTGCTACAATGGAGCAGTGATCCAAAGAATGCTGGATATTACACTGTCTTAGCATCAACCTTTCTTATTTTATAGCAATATTAATATTTTACCCGTACAACATGACTATGTGAACTAATATTACTACCCAACCAGTTTCCAAATCATCACCTAGTTCCAGACAAAATATGTCAAGTCATGTGTGACAAAACATAAAATATTATCAGTAGAGAAGCGCTCTTACAGCCGTTAATGTCTTCTTTCTAATGTTATGTAATGAATGCTAGATGATGATTAACTCTGCAGTAGCAGTCTGAGAGCCTAAGAGATTCAAGTGCCTTGGAAACAGATAATAAAAAATTAACACATAGATAACTTTGCTACAAATTTTTCTGCTGTGGTTATAATTCTTGTTGGAAGTTATTATTTATTTATATCAGAAAAACTAGCAAGCTCAAGCTTTAAATTACTGCACAAATAAATCTGTATACACAATTACAAGAAATACAAGAGGAAACAGAAAATGTGCAGTTCAATGAAAGGCAGCAGAGGTTTCAGAGGAACATATCACCTCCAGCTATAAAACAAGAGAGTAAGGAAACAAGAAACCAGGACGAAACAGGCAGCAAGCAGAGCTCTTATGTTGCGTGCTTCATGTTGGTTTCTTGCCTTACTTACTCTTCAAACCTGAAGATGGAGGCGTTATGTTCCTCCAAAATGTCAGCTGACTTTTGCTGGACTATAAGGCGTTATACTGCAGAAGACAGAACTCTTCAAGTATTCAGTTATTACAATTAAGAAAATCAAATCACTGTGTTGTTTCACTGAAAAATTCTATAAATATTTTTCATTATCATATTCTTAAAGTGACGCAACAAAATTATTCAACAGCATATCAGAACTCACTAATTATGAATAATCAACAGCAAATGATCTGCCCCACAGGGTAGAATGCATGTAAATGAGTACTGAACAGAAACCCACTTAAAATAACACAACATAAAATCGTCATATAAAGGCAATGTAAAGCTACTCCTGTAACAGGCTGTGGAGGCCCATAGGGTTGTGAGACGTCGAGGCTCCCACATTTTATAGGGAACTGGTTCAGAGATGGCAGTGAGGTTGTTAGCCTTATACGCTGGCCACTCTTTACTCCCCAGGAAGATTCCTGGTACTCAATTCTGTTAGAGGCTGAGTCGACCCCAGGACCATAGTGCGGCTGGAAGGATTAGGTTAACTGAAAAAAATCCAATGACCTCATCGGGAATCGAACCCACGACCTTCTGGCTGGTAGCATAGTGCCTCAACCAACTATACTATAACATGAAAATAGTTATGTAATCAAATAAATCTTATCATAAAAATGTTAACTGTGCAGTCAAAGCTGTGAATGTCTATGGATTCACACAGCTTAGGGAGATACTGAGAGCATGTGAAGCTCCCCATTAGCAACCTACACATTGGTATGCTTATATAATGCTTCTGTTAATTAGATAATGGAGTTTTATTTACACAGAGTAACATGTTATATATCTTCTGTACATGCAGATGTATAATTCTGACAGTCTAAGGCTTTACACGATCTCAGTTCCTTGTCACAGCACACTACATATTATTATTCAAGTTGGCACAATACAAACAACTCTTCAACAGTGAACCTAAATTAAAAGTCCTTCTGATAAACTCAGTGTATGTTAAGGTTCTGAAGGATTAAAGCATACGGGTTTCAATACCATTCATAATTCTGGTCGATCTACTTACTATATGTCATTACACAAACTGACAGTAACTGATCACAGTTACAGTCACCACAACAAAATATCCCATACAGTTGCCATGTTGTTCCCTCCCATTTTCCAAACAGAACACCATAAATGGTATCTAAAGTAAATGTATCTTTTACTTCATCCCACAGGTTCGTTCGTCTGGTCACTATGTTGGTCTTACACATAACAGAAGTTAATAATAACAAGAAAGTCAAGTCAAAGTCAAAGTCACATTGCAACTGACGGTCGGTCAGTCGGTCGGTCGGTCAGTCAGTCAGTCCGTCAGTCAGTCAATCTTGGCGTTGAGCCCAATCTGGGGCTCATGACCAGATATTTATTACTCTTTCACAGTTTAGGTCTTGTTATTGTGGGGCGCCCTCTCTGAGGAGAGGATGGTTCTCCGAGTTGTCAGTCATTGTCTGTATTAGTAAGTGATTTGTCAGGGCCACACTGTAGCTCACATGGTTAGTTGCTGGCTTCCCACTGTGGTGGCCAAGGTTCGATCAAGTGGGATTTGTGGTGGACAAAGTGGCGCTGAGGCAGGTTTTCTCCGAGTATTTCGGTTTCCCCTGCCAATCTTCATTCCATCAATTGCTCCACAATCACCCTCGCCTATCATCTGGGGCTGGTACAATAGGCCAGTAGTCACCGCAGTGCAAGGGACCTACTCCCACCCCATTAGCAATAAAAAGTGATTTGCCATAATGTAAAGGATATTTACATTTTACATGTTAAACATGATAATAAATGTATTAAATACTTGTATATACAGGGCCTCTGTCAGTCCAGGCTCAGTAGAGCATATTATGCCCTATTTCCAGTAGCTTCTGCTACAATGGCAGTCTAGTCAGCTGAACGGTCGTACGCTTGACCGCCGCCAAGTTTAAGCCTCTTATACTAATTACAAGAAGTTTTCGGAAGAACTAATCACCCACTTTCCTTGGTAGGACACAGACTGCACTGAAAACAACACATCCAACAATTATTCTATTGTTGCCTAGAAACAATAGGGGATTTTTACCAACCAAGTGTCTATCAACAATAGTTGGATACACATATAGACACACAGACTGATGGGAGGGATTTATTTTATTAAGCAAGCCGCTGAGATGAACTCAGGTACCATGATATACGTGTACATACCGAGTTTCAGTACGATTGGTCCAGGCACTCAAAAGTTATGAGGACAAACACACAGGCAGAATGATGATTGCATACTTTCAGTTTTTAAAAAATAAGTAAAGTAGACTAAAAGGTCGTTGGTGGCTCCACCTTATCGTGGTGAGGGGGTTTGAGTATGCCAAGGACCCTGAGAGCTATAGCAGCGGTAGTGTAGCTACTGGCAGGACTTCCCTTGCTGGACAGGTCAAAGGGTAGGCATCAGACGAAGAGAGACACCAAAAACTGATGCCGGAAGCAGCATCATCAACAGTGACTTGAAGCACAGAGCAAATGATGCTCAAGATCGTTCAAGTTCGTATAACAACAGGCGTGACCAGAGTCGTTTGAACGGCTGTTGTACTGCGATGTGGAAAGCAAATGGAAAAACTACCACATTATCACTTTTCCTGGATAGTCTCTTTCCAAAAACAGAAAAACCAAGTATGCGAGATGTTTCCTCTGGAGACAAAACAATCCGGAGGTAAACTACTCCCCCAATCGGATCTCCGGGGGGGAGTGTTTCTAGAGGAAATGTCATGCAGGCGTTACAACAAGAAAAAGTGCGAAGATCAGAAGAAACAGCATGGATACAAGATTGGAACATGGAATGTCAGGACCTTGAATCAAGCAGGAAAATTGGAGAATTTGAAAACGGAAATGCAGAAGAATGAAGTGTCTGTGCTAGGTGTCAGCGAAGTGCGGTGGAAAGGACAAGGTGAAATAAGAAGCGGTGATTATACAGTGTATTATTCCGGAGGTGAACGGGCTGAAAGAGGTGTGGCAATAGTGGTGCATAAAAGTGTAGTGAGGAGTGTTGTTAAGAAGATTGCTTGTAATGACAGAATTATTGCTCTGAAGTTAAAGGCGGAACCGGTAGATATACTGATTATACAAGTGTACATGCCAACATCAGAGTATGAAGATGATGAAGTGGAAAAAGTGTATGACACAATTGAAGAAATTCTTCAGGAAGATGGAAGAGGAGACACAAACAGCATCATATTGGGAGACTGGAACAGCATTGTTGGAGATGAACCATATCAGAATATTGTTGGATCACATGGACTAGGAAGACGGAATCACAGAGGTCAAATGCTTATTGACTTTTGTGAACGAAATGGATTGATTGTTACCAACACTTGGTTCAAGAAGCCAAAGAGAAGAATTTACACATGGAAGGCACCTGGGGATTGGAAGAGGCATCAGCTGGACTACATCCTTGTGAAACATCGATTCAGAAACAGTGTGAAGGATGTGAAGACGCTTCCTGGGGCAGACATTGACTCTGACCACAACTTGCTGGTTGCCAAGTTCCGAACCAGGTTGAAGAAAATTATAGGATTTCGAAAGCGCAGACCCAGATGGGATTTGGAGAAGTTATATGCTCAAAGACAAAGCGTGCAAGAGACTCTAGAAGAGAAACTCGGTGCAATTGAAGGTGAAAGCGGAAATGCTGAAGCGCAGTGGAACGATATAAAAGAATGCATGTTAGATACTATCAGTGATTTGGTAGGTAAAGTTGAGAAGATAGCAAGAAAACCATGGGTTACACAGGAGATGATGAGTAAAATGGAGGAGCGAAGGAAATGGAAGAATGTCAACAATGAAGAAGGCAGGAGGAAATACAGGAGACTGAGGAATGAATTGAAAAGAGCCACGGACAGGGCCAAAAAGGAATATCTTGAGAAGATATGTAATGAGATTATGGAATTTCAAAGAACAGGCCGTTATGATTTGATGTACATGAAGACAAAAGAACTAGGATGGAAAGAGAATCATGGGATTCAAAATGTTGGCATCGAAGACTCCCAGGGGAATAGAATAGTAGATCAGAGGCAAGTGCTGAAAATTTGGGAAAATTATATTTCAGAACTATATGATCGACCTAATCGGCCAGAAACCTTAGAAGTTGAACCGGAAGAAGAAGTAGATACAGACGAGAAAGGACCATATATTTTACAAAGTGAGGTGGAAAAAGCTATCAAGGAAATGAGGAAGGGAAAGGCTACAGGAGATGATGATGTACCTGGAGATGTGCTCAAGTTACTGGGAGAAGGTGGTTTGAAAACACTGACAAAACTAATGAACACCATATATGAAAGTGGAGAGTGGCCCAAGGACTTTACAGAAGTTACAATGATTGCCTTAAAGAAAAAGACAAAAGCTACAAAATGCAGCGACCATCGCACAATAAGTCTTATTGCACATACAGCAAAGATAATAGCAAAGATACTTAAAAGAAGAATTGAAAGGAAAATAGAGGATGTACTTGGAGAAGATCAGTTTGGATTTAGAAGAGGAAAAGGAACCAGGGATGCAATTGGGATGATGAGAATTATAGCGGAACGAACTTTGGAGATAGATGAAGAACTGTGTGTTTGCTTCATAGACTGGCAGAAGGCATTTGACCGGGTAAACTGGACCAAATTAATGCAGATCCTGAAAGAAACAGGTATCGATTGGCATGAAAGAAGATTGATTAGCAAATTGTACATGGATCAGAAAGTTAGAGTACGACTGGACAGGGGGGAGACAGGAAGTGTGCAGATTGGAAGAGGAGTTCGACAAGGATGCTGTTTATCACCAATTCTGTTCAACTTGTACAGCGAATGCCTTACCAAGGAAGCTCTGGATGGGCTCGGTGACTTCAAAGTAGGAGGGCAAATTATTCAAACTGTGAAATATGCAGATGACCTTGTGTTAATGGCTAAGGAAGAAACTGTGCTACAGGGCATGATTGATAGACTAATTGAAATTGGAAGGTGCTATGGCATGGAAATGAATGTGGAGAAAACAAAAGTAATGAAAATTTCGAGACAACCAACCCCAGTCACAATAAAGATAGACCAAAAACAAGTGGAGAATGTGAAATGTTTTAAATATTTGGGTAGCTTGTTAACAGATGATGGAAGGTGTACTAATGAAATTAAATCCAGGATTGTCATGGCAAAAGCTGCATTAACAACAAGAAGAATCTTTTTACCAGAAAATTGGACTTAAATTTGAGGAAGAAACTAGTGAAACGCTACATTTGGAGCATAGCTCTGTATGGGGCTGAAACATGGACACTTAGGACAGTAGATCGGAAACATCTGGAAAGTTTCAAAGTG